GACCTGCGGCGGCCTTTGGATATCCAAGGGACATAAACTCTATTACAACGGAAATGGTCGAGATCTGCATTAGCAACGGTTAGGAACCTATATGCACACGTGTATAGAGTCGGTAATCGCACCCAAGAGCGACGCGGAGTGGCAGGAATCAAAAACGGCCTGGGATTTATGTCAGAACGGCAACGCTGGTGATAAGATGGAACTCAGCGTACAACCAAGTTACTTCCGATGGGTAAAGTATCCACGAGATGCCGCCGTAACTCCTAATATCCCGTTAACTTTGTGAACCTGATGGGACATGAGCGACGTACATTGTCCGTGATCAATCTCGGATTATGCTCGTTGTTATGATCACAGGGAATCAAGCCTACAAGTTTGAGGCACATGAGGAGAACTTCGATACAGAAAGATGGCACATACATTCATCCATCCCGTCCTCTTCGCTGTTGTTCTTATTCTCCACTTGTCCGACATGACCGGAGTCTGTATCCCAAAGTTAACAAACTTGAGTTGCGCAAAGCAGATTAACTGCCTACATTGAAAGAAGAAACGGTCGCCAGATTTTGCGTCTTTAACAAGTTTTTTGATTTCACGAATCTGATAAGGGTTCCTCGATCACTTCTGACAGACAGGCATATATTGCGGAGGTTACACACAATGTTTGACTGCGTGGGTTGTTTCTCGGCGGATTTCCCGTCATCCAATAGCATGGTGATGTTCGCGTTGTCATAGCCATAATGTTCTGTGAGGGCGGGCAAACTTGAATGTCAGTGTTTTCTGATTGGATTATGGAAACGCACTGATGAGAAGATCCCTCATGTCATGAACATCGCGATGGGGCGTGTGCAGTTCGTACTGGCCACTCCCGGAATCCTTGCCCGTCTTGTAATTGATACCGATCAGTAATGCTTTTTTGCATGGAGGCTCCTCGGCAATTGGTGATTGGTATGGGCGCCTTGGACCTCGATGTTTGATAATCTTCATGCCCACAGCGATGAGAGATAGAGAGGGGGAGGGGAAGGTTCAAACTTCACATTTGCCTGGTTCCTGGACCCGCGCTGATATAATGATTTCTGACACCGGTTTCTGAGATTGCTCGATCAGCGCTGATGCCGATGGGCTGTAACGTTGCATGAATATCAGAAAAAGATGGGCGCTGCAGTGCTAGGGCGGTAGATCAACAAGTTAGGATTTGTTAAATCATTGGAAGACCACAGGATGAGGATTGCACTGCAAAAGTCAGAAGGGAACCAAGGTGGAGAACTACCTAGAATTATACGTAAGGTTTGTAATAGCCGCGCGCGTCAACAGTAGTGCTGATGGCCCTTGGTGCGGCTGTTGCTGATTCAACCCGCGACTTACAAGTACGCCTATGCCGTCCAATACACCCCAGAACTTCGTATAGAATCATCCAGGATCCTTGTGCTTGACTGATTGCGAGTGGAACTGATACAACGGATATTCCAGTTGAAGCGCTGAGGCTAAGGTATCAGCTCTATCAAAAATTGGATCGACTTGTTGAGTTCTAACAGAGCAACGCGAGTGCACAGATATAGCTTTTGGCGTTTTGATTCACTGGACATAAGACGCCGCACCTAGGACAGCTACTTCACCATCGCGGACGTATGCAATCAATATGTAGATGGTCGACGGGAATCAGATTAGTAGAGGCAATAAGTGAGAACAAGACCTGAATCGGTTATTGCTTGAAAAAACGTTTGCACTTGGAAGATAAAAACAGTGTGAAAGATAGTACATGAACGCCGCCCCGTCAATGAGCAACGTATAAAGGTATTCATTCGCGAGATTTAGTGACACCTTTAACTGTGAGCTTGAGACGTCCAAAGGTGTTCGAGTCGGGTGATCATGATAGCAGGTAAAATAGTTCTGATTCGGAAGCGACGTGGATTCAGAATGCCGCGGCACATACCGCGGCATGCTTAGTCATCGTTCTTCCAGCGTTTAACGTTGAAAGTATCTCTTTCGGATTTCGTCGATTCCTTTGCCCTACAGTTTCCTGGCTCTACACAACAACCGCTTGCAAAAGAATACCACCACGTGCCGTATCTCAAACTCTGGCTTTGTAAATGATTGTAACCCTCTCCGACTCTCCTGGATATCAGTGGATATCATATTAGATTTCAATCGTAACCATTGAATGGTGTGCAATCCTTAACGACGACCCTAATGGTATAGACTTTACATTTGCAACGCCCCAATTTTCTTTGGAGCATGACTCTTGGTATAGCTGGAACCGTCTTTAAGCTTGCTTATGCCTTAAGAAGCTTGAGTTCTCTGATTTACTCGGGACCCTTTTCCGCTGTAGTATCCCTCGGAACTTGCAGTGAAATGAATGAATAAGTATATCGGATGTCTAACCTCATGTTTCTCCGAGTATATACACACAGTACCCGGGCCTGCCTCGCTCCTAGTCTATGTTTATCCTTGCTTCGTTGGGCACTTATCATGGATCATGATCATAGACTAGTAAGTATCATCTGCCTCGCTGGTGCCTGTGCCCTGTCAAATGGTCATGGCGTCATCTTTACCTTCGCTTAATGCCGTCCTGCTACTTGCGAGCTAGAACCCTAAACTCGGATGCGGATGTCTACGTTACCACAAGGCTTACAGCCGCGTTGAACCCCGAATAAGACACGTTCCGATGTCGTGGTAGCCGAAATTTTACTACGCAGCGGAGCCTAGTACGTGAATCAACTTGTGGGGTGCTCTGTTCATCGGCAGTTGACAACTGCCTGCTTCCGTTCCTTACACCGACTGTGTTTCTGATGGTGCTTCTGATGATCTCTGGCGCGGGATTTGGATGTTTGCAATGCCCTGAGATTGACATAGACTTTACTTCAAGGTACGCCCATGCGTATCCGTGTGATGAAATAGCAATCCCCTCATGTTCATGAATGGCAGGTGCTTCATTTTTCAACAGTGTGGTGTTCCTTTTAGGGTTTCCGGAAGCATTAGGCACAGTTTGACCGTGCCTCGGACAAAGGAGATAGCCACACGAGTCCATGACCTCACTGGGAAGGGATACGAAATTGGATGCCAGTATAAAAACAACTACTTCATCTTGAATTCCCCCAACTTTCAATCATGCGTCTCACAATAGCCCTCCCGGTGCTTTTCGCTTTTGTTTCTGCCGCCTTCGTCACCGCCTCACCTATTGTAAGTCCTCTACCTTTATAAGAACGTCTCGCATGCTTATATTGATTCAAGGTCGAAGAGGTATGCATCCAAATCGTCCGTTAGTATGTGCTTATGCTCACCGTTCGTTACAGCGAGTTGCAGTTCCCGGCGCTCCTGGATGGAAGGTTTTCAAGATTTTACTTCAGTATGAGTTCTCGGTCTCATCATTTGGCTGTTTTATAGCGAGTCATCACCCCCCCAACCCCTGCCCCAGGATGGCGCCGCACCGAAGCAGAGGTAAGTCATCGCTAGTCTTTCCGAATACACTCAAACCCGATGTTCTTTTAGAGAGCTATCCCTCCGCCTGACCCGGCCCCAGGCTGGTAAAGGACATGCTCCCACGTGAATATCGTAGATTACATTTCTAATCGATATAATCTGCGTTGGTCCCGGTATTCGACTATGGTCCGTTTTATGGATGTACGACTCCACACTTAATCGGTTGAAGGAAATTCTGCATGATGTAATTAAAGCTACCTATCTACCTATGAATTGTCATATTCATCAATTAAAAATCGGCGGTCATGAAATCCTGCGTGCACATGCAATGTATGCCTCCAGGCCAACGCAAGGCTCGACCCAGTTGCCTTGCGATGAGTACTTGCTCCGAAATGCACTTTCCCTGCAGCAGTCACTGCAAGCTCCATATCGAGTAGGATCTCTTTAACTATTCTCCCAAACGGCTTTCGGAATCCTTCCTGAATCAGATGTGAGGAGCCCTTGTGACGGTCGTGAGACGAAGGAGAAGAAATAGAGACCGATGGTAGAATCTACAGAGTAGGCGAACAGTGTAATATCCACCGCTCATATTTGTATAAGCGCTTCCCCCGGAATGCAGCATATCGTAAAGCAACACTATGACCTACGCAGCCCGTGGCTACTCATTCCGTTAATACCCATTGCGTCCAAATTGCGTTGTAGATACCGAGAGTCGACTCTCGAAATAATTGATCGCATCATACTCTGTAAGAATCTAGAACGAGAATTTCCAGAATGTTTCCAAGAAAAGCAACAGAGTGACATTAAAAGATACCAGACGGTGATACAAACATTCTAAATGGCGGCGACGGCTACTGTGTACGGCGGCCTGGTGTAGATAAGAGGGAATGGCTTGTCGTTCTACGAAGCCGACCTACACGGAGAGCTCTGCAGATTTGGCGATGTTTAACACATGGCGATGATCAGGGCTTTACTACCAAGTTTGGCACACCTACTTACTTGCGGAGACGGGAGTCGACACCGAAATCATAATAGTGTCTTGATCTGCAAGACTGACGCCACGGTTAACGTTCAGCTGGTCGCCAAATCCTTCTTCCTGGTCACAGCAAGTATCCACCGGACCCGCCGATGTGTCCGATGTCACGGGTAGAAGAGCATTTCATCGCCAATAAGCAGATGTTCCTCGGTTGCGGAAAACTTGTATTTCAAAGACGTGTTCTGTGGTGCCTTTCAAGACTTAGAAACTCCAGAACCACGAAAGGTTACCGTCGGACTGTATAGGCAAAAAATCGGCTGTCTCTGACGTTCTGGGCACAAAGTGTATGGTGATAACATTCCTGATGTCGAACATAAGGAATTCAATATCAGGTAAGGCGAACGTGCGCGGTGACAGACGGATAACTGAATCACAATTGCATGTAATTAAATGCGGATAAATATTACAGACGTTCCGAAAAACCTTGTCCACGCTGCCAAACAAGGCCATGTAAAATAAACAAATCCGAAAAATACCGAAAAATAGAATAAATGCTTTCTGTCGTTGTCCCCCTTCCTAGAGTCCCGTTTCTATGCTTATATGAATCATGGTTTATCGTTCCATCAGCCGTGACATCAAGGAACGTGCCCTGGTGCTTCTTCGCGATGGCTGGGAGCTCGATGATGTTGTAGAGGCTCTTGGCGTTCATTCCAGAAGCATCGAACGTTGGCTCGACAACTATGAACAATACGGGAGCGTAATTCCAACCAGATATCCTCAGGGCCGTCCCCGAAGACTTTCCACCCTGATTTCGCAGGAACTTTCATTGCTTATACAAGAATCTCCCTCCCTCTTCCTGGATGAGATTGTTGAATGGCTTGCACTAATGCATGATCAGCCAATGCCACTGTCCACACTCTGCGATAATCTGGAGGATCTTGGGCTGCGGAGGAAGGTTCTCAGACGGATTGCGCTTCAGCGCGATGAAGGGTTGCGAACTGCCTGGATGGATCGCATCCTTAGGATATTTACGGCGGAGCAGATGGTCTTTATAGATGAATCGTCGAAAGATGGGCGTACCATTGCTCGCCGTTATGGCCGTGCACCATCCGGTGTCACGCCAGAGGAGCATCTTGACCATGACCGTGGTGAACGGTACAGCATCCTCCCGGCGTTGACTCTTGATGGCTACATTGCTCTTCGTGTGGTCCCTGGCTCTGTGGATGGCGATGAGCTCTACGATTTTGTCCTTTATGACCTGGTAATGTCTTATAATTGGTCTGCTTCTGCTTTGTACACTCACATGGCTTAGTTGCCCAGGATGAATGCCTTCCCAGCACCCTGTAGCGTTCTCATTTTAGACAATTGTAACACCCATAAAAGTGATGCATTGCGAGAGGCTGTTGAAGCCAATGGTATGATACTTCCCTTCAAATAGTCATTGTGCTGATAGCCAGTTTGTCCAGGCTCTATACTCGTATTCTTACCGCCTTACTCGCCAGATTTTAACCCGATTGAAGAGAGCTTTGCTGCTGGTGATGTTATCCTCTCGCTTGGAGATGTTCACTGGTTTCTAACGTTATCCTACAGTGAAAGCATATCTTCGCCGACACTGGCGGGAGTTCGAGAACCATCCATTTCCTGAGCTTGCACTTTACGAAGCTTGCATGATCGCCGTGACGCCGGAGAATGCTCCTGGCTGGTTTCGGCACAGTGGATATATTTAACTTTGGATAGAACTAATCTATTGTAGAATGGCTAGTGACGATGTTCCTTTAAATACTTATTATACCGCTTCTTGAACTCACTCCATTGCAAAGGTTTGAACCCCGCAGCAGCAACGTCATCCCTTGATAATTCATTCACGTTACATCCCACTGTAAAGCCCAGATTATCAAGATACTCGGCTACCTCATCAGCGACTTTGATACTACGGCACCACTCTGCCAAGTCATCTACAACTGGAAGTGGAGGGCTTGAACGACTTGGCGAGGATCCTGATACTGACAAGGTCATTCCAGGGACAGTATGGCCTGTAGAAGGGGTGTTCATAAACATCGGATATGGTGGAAAGCCATATCCAGGATGCATGAATGGTCCTGGTGTGACCGGCATCGCACCGTAGCCAAATCCAGGGAAGTGGTATGCACCATGCATGCCAGGTGTTAAGGGGGCATGAGGTGTTACAGGAGCATGGGGCGTTACAGGAGCATGAGGCGTCTTGGGCGTATGTGAGACTCGTGAAGCACGATAGTCGATAGTTTGATCTTGCTTGAAGAACTTGTTTTCCAGTGGTGGTAACAAGAAGTTGGTATTATCTCGAGACTGTGCATACATAGATGAGATATGATACATTCAAGGACATGGGAAACATACAATCGCATGAGCCCAAACTCCCAATCGGTTTTCATCAAGCTCGAAGTGCCAGTCCTTTGGCGTATAATGGAAGCAGCGTTTGTCGGGATGGAGCGAACAAGCGCCAATTTTGTACCTGTACGTGAGATCATTTTTGATTGGCTCCAGCTTTTTGTCGAGGCTCTCCTGTACTAGTGATGAGCACATTTAAATGTCGGTGAGATTGTGGCCTACCTTCTTGCCAATTAGAGTGGCCAATTCATCATCATAGGGTCCTGGTTCTGCTGGCTCTGGGGTGTTGGAGAGCCAAGGCTGAATAGTACATGTCAGCCATTCTCCAACAAGCACTGCGGTGGAAAGAACTTACCAGATCAACAGCTTTCTTCTTCTGAGGCTCGGGAATGATAAAGACAATGCTGGATGTTGCTTGTCCATCACCAGGAAGGGCTTTCACACGTGTAATCATTGCACTGTATGTATCTGGACCAGTGAGAGGTAAAATACCACCTTTCTTTCCGCTGCGAGTGAGCAAAGTCCAACGAAGCGCACTGGTATCAATAGCTTCCCGAGGCATCTGCACCAGATCTGCGATTATGTCAATGCAACCTTCCCAGCTGACATCTTCTGTTAAACGCCTCGTTCCAAGCATGATTGGCTCCTGCTTCTCGGCCTTTTTAGCACCTCGCTTTCCACGTACCATGAGCGGTGGTCGCTCGACCTCAACATAGACTGATAGCGACATAATTATAGTTGCTGGCTCTGGAGGGGGTGGCGCAGTCTTCTTGGGCCGTCCACGCTTGCGCTTCCCAGGATCATCAGGTACTGGATCATTCTGGCTAGTTTGAGTCGTGGTGCGTGGCTTCTTCATGGCTGCAGTTTGCTAAAAGGATATAAGCCTTATGATATCCCTGAGGTACCTGATTGACGCACCGAAGCTTTGGTTTGGTCTGTTATCTTAACACTAGAGTCAGATTGATCATTATTGGCTGTGCTCTGCCGCTTGTGGGCCTTCTTCATGGGTGAGGGATTGAAGGACTCATTGTCGGAAGCGAACTCTTCATCATGGAGTGTGGAGGAGAGTGGGACACCAGTGAGATTAATGGAAGGGCGGCGTTCACGGTGCGACGGAGGCTTCGGAGGGAGCAACTTCAAGCGGAACCCTGTTTTGGTCTCCACGGGTGTATTAAACACTTGGGCGATGTCAGAATGAGCTCATAGGGCAATAACGAGGTCCTACCATCATCATTATCGCCGTGATGAGAAGCGGCGGACTCGGACCCGGTGTTGCCATCAGAGTCTTGCTGGACATCATCCATGACCTCGGATGTCATGCCAGGTAAAAGAAAGAATAGATAGAAGAGAAATTACGAGTTTATGTGGCTTCAGGATGGTGCAGTAGCGACAGAAAGCATTTATTCTATTTTTCGGTATTTTTCGGATTTGTTTATTTTACATGGCCTTGTTTGGCAGCGTGGACAAGGTTTTTCGGAACGTCTGTACATGTGTGCACTCAGGTTCACACTGTTAATAAAAATGAGTGTTGAAATTCACAACAGTTGGTACGATACGTACCACGTAAAAGACCCAGAGCGCAACTCAGACACGAGCAACGTGTTTCGTCTACAAGGCGCTTCAATTCCGCAATCTCGCCGTCCCATCCACTGACACACAAAGGTGCCTCAATCAATCTCAACCGGCTCGGTCGAGACGTGGTTGCGAACGGTGGCTCTACCACCCCTCCACGGGTACTCGCTATCGCGATGAGATCCACAACCTGCACGTCGCCTTCGACGAAGAGCTGCATCAAAGACGGACAGAACCAATCTTCTCCATCAACCGGCGGAGAAGACAGCTTCTCGATTAAACTGGCTTCCTTGCACCGGAAGAGGGCGACGTCGTCTAGTATGAGTCGCACGACGCTCGGGAGAAGCGAAAGCCATTGAATGAATGTTGGTACATCGGTCTCGCGTAGAGAAGACCGGATCTCGAGGGTATGAAGATTCGCGGGAACGAAATTCGGCTGACTCCACTGCATGAAGACTAGATTCCAGTGCATATGGTCGTCGCTATAAGAGTAGCTGTCAATGAGACGGAACATCTGCAACGAGGGTGCACGAATGCGAGAGACGTGGAGGGCGAAGCACCGAAGCGATTGGATGTGAAGATTGAGCAAACCTTCCATTAGCACCGACGTCCCCTCGCTGGAAGAATGGGGACTGTCCAGCAGGAAAAGGGACTCCAAAGTTATTGAGACCACGTTTGGTATGAAGGTGATCAACTCGAAAATTTGGGAGTTCGTGCACCTATTCCGGCGGTCAATATTGCGGAACTCAAATTGAGTCACACTGCGGCTCAACACGCTCTTCACCCACGAAGGAGAGACAGAATCGGCTCCCAGAACTCTCAACTTCGAAGGCGCCACGTCCCACAGCTTCTTTTTGGGTGAGCCTTTATCCCCACACGACGTGACATGCAGTTCCTCCAAGCTAGACAAATCTTCTCCCTTGAGAGTTTCCAACGTTCTGGTAGGAACCGAGGCATAAACCCAATTGTGAACCAATGATAAGAGATCCTTTTCGCATTCGTAGTATCTTCTTCGTTCTGTGGGAAGGGTGAGGTACAAAGGAGCCGACTTGGCTTTGGAGAGTTGGACGAGACCGTGTCGCTTGGAACGTGTAAAGTCGATGATCCCATATAAACGTGGAGTGGATATGACAATTTCATTCCAGTCGCTGCACGTTAAACACAGTGGAGGCAGGAAGCCAACTCCCCATTTGTGTACACCAACCTCGAATATATGCGCGTATATTTCTGGGGGCAGCTGAAGAGACATCTTGTCGGTAAGGCGGTTCACTGTCGTATTTTGCTTTCTCACAATGGAGCACCATGTCATATATACTCGACCCAGCTGCAAGTAATTTGTCAGTATGTTGACTGTTCAAGAGTCATTGAGCGTGTACCTTGCACAGCGGCACCGGAAAAACTGTCGGCTGCAGTCATTCATAGTTAACGGTGCCGACGGTGCCAATTGTGAGAGAATTCTTCGGCAATTAAACTTGGGAACTTCGAAAGAGCGTGGTCACTATCTGCTTGCGCCAATGACCTAGATGCTAATTGAGCCCGGGGGTCGTCGCGTTCGTCATGATGAGTCACGGTTGGCTGCTGCATTGTTCGTCGTGCTACACACTCCTCGTATGAACGTAAGACAAGATGGATGCCTCCACGCTGAGCTCGAGGATAGCGGTCGACGTGGTGGCCGTTGCTAAGGTGAGATTTGGTTGATCTTCAACTTCCCTGGGCTCATCACACACCTTGACTTTTAGTCGCGCTCGTTATCATGTTGCACAGGAATACAGCACGGTTGGCGGACCGAAAAGGACATTGGGCGGTGCTGAGCTGGACGCCGGCGGCATGATGGCGGTCGATTGCGAAGGAGCGGAACTGTTGACGGTTCCGGGTTACCGTACGAACTCACCAGCAATTGCCACGTACAATGCTCGATACGGAGTCGTTGTCGTTGTGATTAGGTTCATCATCGTCGTCATTGTCGTACTCCAAGCGGTCATACTGGTGAGCAAGGATAAATGATCGCATCTGACCAGCATGCTGAACATTTGTTATCCTTTTTCCAGGTAGAATTACGACCGTGTGCTGATAGACGACACACATGACAAGAGCCAAGATTCTCCATTTGTTTCTGTCGTCGCGACAGTGCCACCTCGGGCGGATCTTGCAACTGAAGCTTTGTGGATGCAAGTAGGGCCACGGTCAACAACCGTTATCTATAACCATGAAGGCCGTTTCTCGTGTTCTCCGGCCATTGACTGTTGGTATTCGTCGAGAGGATCCCGGTAGGATATGGGAGAGACGCGCGCCTCTCACGCCGGAGGCCGTTCAGGACTTGGTAACGAAGCAGGGCGTTCAGGTGCAGGTCGAGTCTTGCGACAGGCGGATATTCACCGATGATGAATACCTAGAGGTGCGAGATATTCTACGTGTCCATTAGCTGGTAAAGTGCTGAGCAGCATACAGGCCGGTGCTAGCATCCGGAAGGACCTCTCCGCTGCGCACATTCTTCTCGGTATCAAAGAACCCCTCCTGAATTCGCTGCAGCTCTCGCCAGTTCCTTCCCCAATTTCCCCAGCCAATGTCACTCGTACTTACATGATGTTCTCGCACACTGCAAAGGGCCAGTCATACAACCTTCCACTCCTGTCATCATTCCTCGGGCACAAAGAATTATCCCGTCTCATCGACTTTGAACTACTCACTGATACCGTGACCGGTAAACGGACCGTCGGATTTGGGTGGTATGCCGGAGTGGCTGGCGTGTTCGAAGCGCTGTCCTCTATGGCCCACTCCCATCTTGAATTTGGGGTTGCTTCTCCGTTCCTGGTATGCCTCATTAAACTTTGTTTCAAACATAGACTCTATCTGCATTCCAGTTTACTCCAAGACCGCATACCCAGCCGTCTTTGGATCATCTGCGAGCAGCTCTACGCGCTATTGGAGCGCGAATTGCTACAGAGGGCACCCCGAAAGCATTGGGTCCGTTTGTCGTTGGTCTCACTGGGTAAGTTCCGTGTCAGTCTCAATCATTCAGACTCTCACATGATCTCTTAGGACAGGAAATGTCGCCGAAGGCTGCCTGTCGGCTCTTTCGGAACTGCCTATTGTTAAAGTCGCAGCGAGAGACCTTCCGGCCCTCGTCAAAGATCCAGAGATAGACTTACGAAAGGTAAGGCACGACGCTGGAGATTAGACAGCGGATTTTGAATCACCGTTTATTAGATATATCTCGTCCATGCTTTACCGTCTGACTACTTTACGCGTCTTGACGGCGGTAAATATACTCGGGATCACTATTACGCTCATCCCAACCTGTATTCATCAAATTTTGCCCAAACCGTGCGCCTTAGATATCTATGTCTCTTCTGAGCTAAGTTCTCGAACAGATTGCCCCTTACCTCACTCTTTTCCTGAATGGCGCAGGCTGGGCTCCCGGCTATCCACGAATCATGACAGATGAACAGCTGTCGACCTCACTTACACTCGCGCAAGAGGTTGGCGGCGCACGATTCACGAACATCGGCGACATCAGTTGTGATCCCGAGGTACACATTATCACACTGTCTCCCAAATCCCCATCCTGATGCCAAATTCACAGGGAGGTCTTCAATTTCTTACGCATGCAACTACGCTATCAGCACCCTCCTTCAAAGCCCGGCCCGCTTCTCTTCCTCAGCACTTACCTTCTGTAACAATGATGGCGGTAGATATCTTACCATCTTCCATTCCTTTGGATGCTTCACGGGGCTTTTCTCGAGCATTAGTCCCATACCTGGAAGCCCTGATCGCGTCGTATAAAGGCGACACCAGCGGTGATCGTATTGAAGCTTTAAATCGAGCGACTATCGCCAACAAAGGAGAGTTAGCTCCGCAACATCAGTGGCTGCAAGAACGCGTAGATGCATGGCGCGCATCGACAACGAGGTCTACAACATCTTCTCATGGTCATTTGAAGGCCAAACATGTTCTGATGTTTGGTAGTGGCATGGTAGCCGGCCCCACCGTGGACAAGCTTGCAGAAAGATCTGATGTTCGACTCGTAATTGGTTGCTTGTTTCTCCTTTCAGTTTTGTACCACGCGTTTCTAAACTTTGGTTCACAGTTAGCAACTCACGCTTGGAGATGAAGAAGCTACGTGGCAATCACTACAATGTACAGTACCGTGAAATCGATATGGGCAAACACGCCGATGTCTCGCGGCTTGTGGAGGAATCAGATGTCGTTATCAGGTATGCTTGTTTCGCCAGTGCTCTTCAATGAGGTGTCGACTATTAGGGCAGTCTTTTGCCGGCGCACTTTCACCCTATAGTCGCTGAGCACTGTATCCAACACAAGAAGCACATGATAACAGCGTCATACATCTCTGATTCGATGAAGGCTTTACACTTCCGGTATGACTGTCTTCTGTTACTCTAGTCTCGGTACTGAGGCTAATGCAGTGCACTGGATTCCAACGTTCTTCTTCTCAATGAGATTGGCCTTGACCCCGGAATTGATCACTGTTCAGCGATCTCCCTCATTTCTAGGCTTCAAGCTCAGAACAAGAAAGTCATCTCTTTCATTTCGTTTTGCGGGGGCCTTCCTGCGCCAGATGTAGACGACATAGGTCCGCTGAAATACAAGTTTAGTTGGAGCCCGAGAGGGGTTTTGACTGCGGCGCTTAATTCTGCGAAATTTAAGCTCTTCGGCGAAGTACGCTCGCCTGGATTTGATTTTGGAAGCATCATGTCTTACTTATTTTCTTCAGGAAAAGAATATAACTGGAACCAATCTGTTGCGCTCCCACTTTCCTCAGGTACCTGTGATGCCCTCGGTGCATCTCGAAGGCTATGCGAACAGGGATAGTCTTCCGTA